TTACTTAGCTTCTGTAAACCCAAATTCAAGTAACTGTCGAACAAAATAACTGAAAATATGGTTTAAATGATACGATCCTTACCTGTTAGAATGTGGTCGCCTCAAACCATTTCTGCACTTCCTGTTTTTAACTGTAGATTGTTGATCCACTCTTGTCTTTTTTCTGTAAGTTTTTTTAAAATTAACTCCCGTGTGACACACTACTTTCAGAGCACAAAAAAAAAACATATTTCTCCCGATTAGAGTGATTGCAATGGCTGTACGCGGTACAGATTTTAGGAATTTTGATGCTGAATCAACAGAAGGAAACGGGGCTGCATTTACTTCCTGTCCCCCGTCTGCATTTTGTGACGTCATCTGCAACTCAGCAATAGCGGTGAGGAAACGTTTCTTTACAAAAGAATTGAAAGATGTCAACAGAAGATTTGTCCATCCAGACTTACATGTTGGAGCCAAAGACAAAGAAAATAGAGAAAACTGAACTGTCTGAAAAATATGACCCCAAACAGAATATAAAGATATCTGCTGCACCAGGAGAGACGAAGTTAAACTTTTCTGCACTCTTAGAGACTCCAGTTACACAATAAAATGTGTTTAAAAGCTAAAAAAAAGAGGATTTTGCATTATTAAGAGGTCAAATGTGTCAAATCCTGCTCTACAAGGGCCACAACCCTGCATGTTTCAACTGTTTTTCTGCTTTTATACACCTGATTTGAACAACAGGCTTCTGCAGAACTCGAGACACGTAAAACATGCATGAAACAATATTGATAATTTCACTAAAAAACAAACTAAAAAGAATATTCCTCGAGTGTTTAAAACTGAGCAGAACTTTAAAATACATGTTCAGTCATCAAACTTGAAATGAGGCAGAATAAACATTCACTGACCTTTGTTTTCCTGACTGTGTATTGTTCAGAGAACACAGAAGAGCTTTGGCTTTCCAGACACCGGTAAGTACAGTAAGCACATTTGTAACGCTGGAAAAACAGAACTCAGCCATTTATGCAAAAAGACTTTGAGAATCACTGTGTTTTCCCAGTGGAACTGGGTCATAAAAAGACGACCAGTCGCCTGTGGTCAGCGTTTAGATGGGTGGTAGCAGCGCTGCTGTTTTGACAGTAAATGATGTGAAACTACATTTAATGGTAGAAAGTATAGGATAGCTTGAATTTTGTTTTGTTTGGCTTCGAAACTTTGTGTTTCACTCACTTTCAAAGACGATTTCAGTTAAATTCAGGCAGCTCRAACTCGCTCCGCGTCTTGAAGAAGATAAATTTCTCTTGACAAGGCTAATTGTTAAGTGTGCGGTTGCTGATTTAACAAGCCAAGGAACCACTTTGTTGTTGTTGAACTCAAATTTGTATAATTCACCGAGAACCACAAAGTTTCTCTCCACATTGGCACAGTTCTGGTCCTACTGTACCCATTGTGCGAAGCCCGAATGCGTAAAGATTTTCTAATAATAGAATAAAAACTCCTTGGCAAAGCGGCGCTGCTTTTACACATCCCACCTCCTTTTGAAAAGAGGGCTAAGCTTTGCAAAAAGGGAATTCTATGTTTCATTTTGAAGTTATTGGTCCACTTCCAAGACCGTCCAGCCTCCAGTGATCAAAGGTTGAGTCAGAGAAAAGCCTAGCAGGAGGCTTATGCAAAAATGTCATCTCCTTATTGCRAATGGGCTGACATGTCTTTAACCATCAGCACTGGTTGCAGTTTGGTTGTGCTTGGTCAAGTTTGAAGTATGCAGTATGGAAAAAAAAAAGTGTCATTCTACCGCGATAGCATTTGAAGGATACGGAATGTTGCATTGATTGAAATCCTCAAAGTCTGGTTTTAAGCTCTAGTTAAAAAAAAATAAACATTTACACGAGAACTAAATTTGGTGATTTAAAGGAGAAAAATACTAAAATATATTTTAATTTCACAGCAGCTCTTCGAGAAAAAGAGAATCCTAAATAGATTAAGGATGYTATGTGTTGCAAACTCCCACAGAAAAGGTTATAATAAACAGTTATAATAAATGCTGTTAGAACCTCTTATATGCATTTCTCAAATGCAGGTATGCATTCAATGTAAACAAAGCCCTTTTTTCTGTATATTTACTCAATAARTCTGGAAGTAAACACTRATMCAGAGGTTCTCAAACTGAGGTCCCAGAAGTCGGGTCCAAGAGCCGTACCTTGGGGGTCCTCAAAAAAATTTGTTAATTTGGTTTTTATTTTAAAAAATGCACWTGGGTAACAATTCACTAGTATTAACTAGTACTAAGGAAACATACTAAACCKAACAAAAAAYAATATTCACMTGGCATTTAGGGGTTAAAATGAAAGTAAATTGTTTTTAATTTAAAATTTTAGGGGTTCCAGGAAATTTTTTTATCCTGGGGTCCTCAGATCCAAGAAGTTTGAGAACATCTGCACAAATACATCASTTTTGTGGGTAAACAAACATGGTAGTTGGCAGCTGTTTACAATTTAGCTTACAGGTTTTTAATTTAAGGATACGACAACCATAAATATGAAAAAAAGTTTCTTACACTGTCTTTATTTACTGGTCTTTATGATGATTATCTTTAACAGCAGCCATGTTTCCATTTAGTTTAATCTAAATTTTGAATGAACTTTTAAAATGTTGCCAAAAAAACACGTGYTTCCATCTACTGGTTTGAAGCGAATCAACCAGGCTATGCAAAGCGTAATTACGTCAAACGTTGATGCTTCGCATGGCTGCAATAAACAGGAAGTAGAGGTTGCAAACTAGCAGGGACCACACATCGAGTGCTAGCGGAGCCTAGCTCTTCCAGGTCACAGGTCAACTGGTAAAACTCTGAGATTTCTATGGAAATGTCATTGGGATTGTGCAAATTCAACAAGCCCAGATCGCAGATTCAATGATAATTAAAAATTACATCTATGATCCTAAAGGAAAGTTTGACACAAATAGGTTCAGAGGAAATACGTAGTAAAGTTAAAAAGAAAAAAATWGTATAGGTCCTCTGGACGGGTTCTTCTCTAATGAAACGTTTCGTCTCTCCTCCAAGAGACTTCTTCAGTCTGAGAGTTTCAGGCAAAATTCAGGCATTTAAGCACTGCCTCCATGTGACTGATACTCACATCACATGGCTATCGTTGACACCTAATTAACACTTATTGTTAACAGGGGGTGGAGTGATACTGGCAATAGCAGCACTGTAGGAGGGGGACAACTGAAAACGGAGRCCTCCACCTCTGTTTAATGATGGACGGTCTTTCTTCACAAAAATGGCTTCTTTTACTCCTCTCTCAAACCAACGTTCCTCTCTATCAAGAATGAGAACATCCTCATCTCTGAAAGAGTGACCGCTGGCCTGTAAATGAGTGAAAACTGCAGAGTCCTGGCCATTAGATGTAGCTCGTCTGTGTTGGGACATTCTTTTGAACAGTGGCTGCTTTGTTTCCCCGATGTATAACTGGTCGCAGTCCTCCTGGCACTTAACAGCATATACAACATTGCTCTGTTTGTGCCGGGGCACCGGATCTTTGGGGTGAACCAGCCTACTTTACTTTACTACTTTACGTAGTAAAGTTATTATTTGAATTTGTGTAATTTCAATGGCCCTTCCACAACAACCTCAGCATTTTCCCAACAAACGAGTGAGTTTGGCTGACTTTGTGCATTTGTAACAATTCTTAGATACAAAATGTTTTTTTGTTCTGTCATGTCATCTAGTACTGGCGATGTTACATGCTGTCTGGAGAAGCAGAGAACGAAATGCAATTGTTATGGAAATATACATCAGAACTTATTCTGCAAATGTGTTTCCATTAGAGATGCACGATACAGTGCACAGATCCACTGAGAAACTTGCTGTTTCAGCAACATTTAATTTAAAAACTGTACTTTTGAGGTTAAACAAATGTTCATAATTAATTTAAATAATTGACAAGTTAAAAAAGTCATGGAGATTTCTCTTTTTCTATCGAAAAAACACAGAACCGTGACACTAAAGTATCAAACTGAACCAAATTGTGAATTCTCTGTATCGTTGCAGCCCATATCAGTAAATATGTCATCTACCATAACATCGGATATCGGCTAAAATTTTCACATCAGTGTATCCCTTGTTTCCCTCTCTTCTTTTGCACATTAACCCTTTTTCTGAAAATCCAAAAACCATTTCAAGGAAATGTAAAAACCTGCAAAATTAAGGAAGTTTTTCAGTCTTTGCTGTTTCCATCAACATTTTCTAATGCGACTCGTGCCTCACAGAGTCACATACTGAGCTGTGTTCCCACCAAAGACCACCTTTAACATCAGGTCAGACACTCAAGAGTCCCACCATCCAATGGGTCACATCTAGACCTGCTGAAGGTGACCACCAGGGTGGAGATACGAGGGGGGGCTCCGATAACATCGCAAGGAATTTAAAGAAGAGTATTTTTCCCCTTTCAAAGCCTCCATCTTTCAGTCTGACGCTTACTGTAAACATCATTCCTGCACACAGCATTATGAGGCGTACTCTGCATTCCTTCAGCGCTTTAAAAACATGCAAAAGTGACTTAAATATTCTGTTTTTATTGATTTGAAAGAGGGAATGGTCACAAAAAAAGATAGTGCTGCCAAGCATGTAGTGGGGTTCATAAAATTATTTTCTAGTTTTAGCAAAAGTTTGAGTTTTTTCTTCTTTAAGGAACTCACAAAAAAGCTGATAAGGTTTTATTTTTTCTTCACTTTTACAAAAAAAAAACAGTGGTTTTACTGTAATAAAACAAGTGTTGTGAGCTCTCGTACTGTACGCCTAAACGCTTCAGCGATGTTGTAATAGGTCTTTCTCAAAGCAATGACCTTAATAGCAGTCCTCAGTTTGACTTTGTATATAAAAATGCATACCTTGGCAGTATGCGGGGAAGGGAATGTACGCTAACCGATCTCTACCTGCATCATTTATCTCTCACACAAAGGGTGATAACACCTTCACCGAAAGCACAGGAAAAAACACGTTTTTTTGTTTTGTTTTAAATATAATCCTCATTTTATTAACAGAGGCCTCACATTTTATTTACAAAGGGAAGAAATAAATATCTTAATAATGGTCATAAAATTATTATTATTTTTGCTTAGATTTGTTTAAAAAAACATAAATGTGTCATGTTAGTAGTAACTCATACAGAAGACTGCCAGTTGACAGGTAAATACATACTACTGGTGAAAAACAAAAAAAGAAACAAAAAAAAAAGGAAAGAAAACTGGAGTTTGTTGTCAGAGGCAGAAAATAACGTTTCCTTTAAGGATTCAGATACAAACTCCAGGCGACTTAAAGATTCCCTGAATCCTGTCATTTAGGTTTTTGAGAAGTCGTTTTATTTGTTAAATATGATTAGGAAGTGTGGAATACCTGTCTGTGTGCGTTTCCCCAGAAGCATCTGCTAGATCATCTCAATCAYAGAAAAACAAACCAAACAGATTCAACTGAAATAATCAGACTAAGTAAAGATAAACAAAAAAAAAAAAAAAGCACAAGGAGGTAGAAGAAGTCATCACCAGCTTCTAAAAGCTTGGCATGCTCTCGCTTGGAAAAAAAAAAAGATCAAGGCATTGTCACTGGAAACATGTTTAACACATGTGAGGAAGAGCTGAAAGGAGCGCGACGTGAAACTGGAAGACAAGTTTGGAATTACGAATCACATCGGCCGTCGTGTTTTTCTTTTGTTGTCAAAGCGTGTTTCAGCCRAACCAAACGTCACGGAGCTTCCGGTTTCCGGCGCATTCCAGGAGACGTGTGGAAAGAGAGCGGGAGCGAAAGAGACCTGTAAAAATATTGCACTCAAAGCTACACAGTTATCCTGGCGGCGCAGTGTCACCTGCACGCCCTGCCTCTCKCCGGGCTTCATATCCATGGTGCTTAATTCCAGTGGAAAGTATGGGATCCGTGTCGTCAGGGGCAACACAAACAAAAACCGACAGGTATTCCAATAAATCTCTAGTTGGCTGATTTTTATAACATTGCGTCAGCTCCTGCTTCAGTTCCCATTGTCAGAAAAAAAGAAAGGAAGAAAGAAAGAAAGCAGGCCTCAGCTTGCAGTTCAGACGCAGCCGAGGCCAGCAGCCACAGGAGTTCTCTCAGAGGTCCTTTAGTTTATCCACTATAAATAACAACAACGACGACAACAACGACAGCAACGCAGAAGAATCCAGGAGCCGTGAAGCACTGTCATCCTGAAATACAAAAATAAAACATCTTTGTTCTTTTAGTTTGTCCGTCTTTCCCTTACAGAGGTGAGGTCTTTAAGGTGATTCTTTTACGAAGTGTGACCCCTCCCCTCCCGCCCCCCTCAGTGAGAGTATCTAGTGCTGTCCCGTTGGTGCCATCAGTTCCTCTTGGGGTTGGACTTTAACCGCCGAGCCCTTCGTGTCCGCTTTGTCACTGTGGTGAAACGGAACTCCTCCAGCGGGTCCGCCCTGCCCTTGGGCTGGCGCTTCATGAAGTGGACTTCCTGCTGCCGCTGCGTGGTGCGCGAGCCCTTCTTGGGCCGCCCCTTCCGGTTGAAGCCCAGGTACCATCCCTTGTATTTGGCCGACACCAGGGCCGTGTAGTTGTTCTCCAGGAATTCCTCCACAAAGACGCACTCCTGCTTCCTCCCGTCGGGCTGAGGAAGGAAAACACAGATGTTAGTTTTTCACAACAGCAACGTCGGGTTTATTTTCTCTTTTTGCAGTTTTGTGATAAAAATGGTAATTTAGGGTTGTGCTTCWAGGACGTTAGTGGATATTAATAAAGGTTTCACTATTTTAATTTCTTTTTATATGTTTTACTTTGATTGAGCATGAGTCCTCACTCTGATGGTGCCACATACTGATCATTTGTCTGGAAATACAACTAAAATGAGGA